ATATGTGTTAATATGAACCAAGGTTCAGTGTTAAACCTCTGAACCCTCCGTCAGCTCCTGTTTTTAATGATTCATTCATATTATAAATGGATTTATTCAGTTTACATTCGACTGAGAGCTCATTACGACTCCATGATGCCTGTGGGCTCCACAAGATTCAGCCCTCTGTCATTTACATCTCATCTGATGCTCACTGACAGTCGTGTTATTTTAAATTCATTAATATTAATATTCATGACTCTTGTGTCCGACGTGTTGCTGTTTCTTCTCTTCAGGGGACTCCAGCCCGTTTGTCACCTCGCCCACCTCCGTGTTCCCTCCCTCCGCCTCCTTTCCAACGCCCACCACCCAGAATGCATTTCCTCACGAGTCAGCCAGCAACCAGGAAGCCAATGGTAACGTTTATTATTATTTCTTCTCTTATAATCTGATGTTTTATGGGAGTTTTTGTTTTATGGTCATTTCATTTCAACAGTGCAGCTCCTGTTTTGTTTGTTTTGTTGCGGTGCAGAACCATTTGTCAAACGTGAACACAGCTTCGTGCATCGAATTAACAACTTCTTCTTCTTTTCCAAACTCCCTGTAACAAACATCAGTAAACCCTCTTTCCTCGTACAGTACTAAAGGAACAGCTTGTTCAGAGCCTCAGCGGCTGTAACACTGTATCCTGCTCTGAAAAGTGAAAACTGAAAGAGGACAGTGTGTTCTGGTGAATGAGAGTCTTACACCCTCTCATCCATACATTCAGTATAACACCTGAGGTAACAGTGAAAAACCTGCATCACACACTGAAGCTGCCTGTGGGACATCGACTCTGTGTGCACAGGCTGCAGATCAAACAGTGCGAGGCTGCGAGACACCGACACACTGCAAATGTTTCATTATTTCAACAGTGAGCAGCAGCGACTGCGCAGGAATACAAATTCACACAGACGGAACTGCTGCTGCTGTCATCTGCAGGTTCTTGTGTCAGGGCTCAGCTTTTTTATGCCTCCATGCCAGATTCTTCAAATTTGGTACAAATTGGCGTTTGGAAGATAAAGTTCAGGGTCATCGTATCCTCATAAAACCTTAAACATGGCCTTGTTTAAACATTTTCTTAAGAACGCCTCAATGTTTTTAGCCACTTGAACATGACGTGTATCTCAAGTCTGACTTTAGGGAATTTCTTCAAATTTTGACCACTTGTCACTTGGACTGGAAGATTAACTGATTTCTGTGGTTAAAGGTCTCTAATTTCTGTCATGTTACTCGTCCACGTTTCAGGTTTTGCCTCCTTCCCTGCGTCCGACTCTCAGCCCAAAGTCGCCCGGCCGATGTCGGTGAACCCGTTTACTGTGAGTATTTCAGTGGGATGAAAAAGGGGAGTGAAGGGTGAAGCTCTCTTCTTCTACAAACTGCAGGAGGCGTAGTGCTCACCCTGCCTCTCTTGCCTTCCAGGGGAATGTTTATCCAAGTCGAGGGACGTCGCGGAACCCTTTCATCTGATCCTCCCCACCAGCATCCCCACTGCCTCCTCTTACTTCACCCCACCCATCCCATCCCATCTCTGGGAACCGAGGGAGAAGTGAACTTGAGGAGTCGCTGCCATTTCAATGCCTCTGGAGTATTTTCATCCTCGGGAGGGAGGGGGCGACGTCCCCGCAGGACCCTCCCCTGTGCCCTCCTTCCTCTCCGCCCTCTCTCCGTCTGTGTTTACGTGTTTGTAGAGGAAAAAAAAACAAAACAATGTGTGAATGTAATTAAGAAATCCATGTGTGTACGAGAGTGTTGGCTTGCTGTGTTTGTACAAGACAAATGTCCGAAGGTGTTTGTGTGCCAGTATAGACGCCACCTCAGGGCTCTGTGGGAGTCACGGGGAAATGACGCCTCTATGATTTTTGCAGAAACACACACTTACACACACACATGCAAACATATACAGTATATATATTATACACATGTTGCTGCTGCTGCTACTTTGCTTTCATCTCCTGCTAAAAAGTGCAAAAAAATCCCTCCAGCCCATGAACACGCCACCGCTGTCTTCTGCTTTGAAGAGTCTCCGAGGTCTCCGAAGGAAAAGCCAGTTGAGAATGGGACCCTGCATCATGAGTTCTCTACGGATGGTTCTAACAGCCTTAACCTGATGCATGTGAGTTAGCGTCCATAAGATATGACAAGCCTTTCTATGTAAAGGGTGCGTGGAAGACGTCTGCATACGTCACTGATTTTTCTTTTTTTTTTTTTTTTCTGTCCATCGAAGGAGAATTTATGTTTTCCACTCTCAGGCTGCATGCGCTTTGAGGGCTAAAAGGAGATGCTACTGAATGTAAAAGCAATTTCAGAATAACTTACATTAATGTGCACGTTAACGTCATCGCTTCATTTACCGGACCAAAATGTTCAGTTGCTGTTTTGTTTTTTTTGTCTTCGGTTGACATAGAAGTTTATTTCTCTTGTTTTGCCAAGAAAAAAAAAAAGAAAAGAAAGGAGATGTGTGTTACAACGTCTTTGTAATGACAAGTATTCATGTTCATAAAATTACGTCTGTTGCTTCTTAAGAATTTGGCTCTGGAGGTTTCTTCATGCATGTGTGTGTGTGTGCACTTGTTTTGGACGTCTTTAGAACCTTTTCCAGTATAAAACACTGAACACTGTGTGTTTTTGCACTTCTACTATTATTACTACTACTACAACAGGATATATTAGGAAAGCAAGGATATTTTTAGAGGTCTGCATATTTTCAAATGGCTATTTAAGGGTTAAGAGTTTTTTTTTTAGAGCTTTAGGCAATTATCTGCAAAAGTGAACTTTATTCAATAATGCAAACGTCTCAGAGCAAGAAAATGCTTCATGGGAATAAAATAAACCCCCAGAAATTAATTAAAAGAAAAAACACATGGATGAGTGTGAATAAATGGCTTTTCAGTCGTGCTTTAAATGCTTACCCAGATACTGCAGAATGGAAATCTATAGGGAGACAGTATTCCATTGTGTAGGGACCACAGCTTTGAAGGCACCTTTAGTTTTCTAGTTGTAGGTCAGTGATGTAAACGGGGGCCTGCAGTGCTAGTAGTGATGGTCGAGGGTAGAGAAAGAGAACAAGGAATGTAAAATACCAATGAGTGAGTTTGTTTCTGACTAATTTATATGTAAATGTATTGAAATAATCCCATAAACATAAATCCAAGCATAAAATTGAACTGAATTCTTTTTAAAGGCTGTGACGTGGTCTTGCAACAGCAGGGGGCGCACGGCATCCAGTTCTCTCTGACCTCATGAGTGAGGTTACTTCTGGATGCATATTGCATAACAACATACATACTGCATAAGCATGGAGTACAAAGATAGAAACCCGGCACAGCTTCCAGCACCACGACCTTCTGAAGCATTATGGCCTAAAAAAAAAAAATCCAGAGTGGAACCAGATCTGCAGAATGTGGATTAATAATCTGGATTATATGCATTTTTTTTTTATTTCTCCCACTGAGGGATGGAGGAGGATTCACTGCTCAGTCTAGACAGTGAGAGGACATCGTGTGTACAGACACTACGAGAGACAGGAATAACACTGACTGCTCATTTATCCAATTATAAACTTAACCTGCTCCTGATCACACCTATAGGAATCAACCATCACACCAGCAGCAGCACAGTGTTCCAATGACTTCACTGTGACCCCTCATTTAAAAAGAAATATTTTCCATGCAGCATGATAAAATCATAAATAAGGAGACTTCGGGTTGTAAATGTTTATATTGCAGGATGTGCAGGGGGGTGGAAATAAACGTGTATTTGTATTAGAACATGAATAAATGACAGAGGGGGATTTTTACAGTAAATAGAACAGGATGAACTCATGGAAGAGCCAGCACTGAAATCTTACTCCACACACAATGCGTTCAAGGGCTGTGGGAAATCCTGCTTGTGTTATTATGGAGTGGCTTTTCACATCAGAACAAGAACTTGTTCTGATGTGAAATGGGCCAAAAGATGCTTAAACTGCTGCTGTGTGACTGATCTTCTTCATGTGACTGTTCTTCTGCATCGGTCCAGGGTTATTGCATGTGCACATGCAACACACACTCAGGTGAATGCATGTGCACATGCAACACACACTCAGGTGAATGCATGTGCACACTTGTCCACACATTGATGTTTTTGTATTGTTTTGTTTTTGTTTTCATTGGGTTCAAGACACGTTTATTTTCTTCATGCCAACTTTGTGTTGTCTAATTTTGTGATATTTCTACAATATTTAGAGGCTTTAAAACAACAGTGCTGTGTATTTGACCTGCCCCTGCACCATACTTTTATTTGTCATGATTCTATCTGTGCTGAATGAAATCTAAAATCAAAAAAAGTTTAAAAAAAAAGTAGAATGAAGGAGAAATTGAAATTGACACTGTAACTAATAGTTTAAGATATTGAAATAAAAAGCTATATCAC